CATTTGTTTAATTTGTTTATACGTAGGGCCTACTGCAAAAGCTCCTGGGTGTTGTAGATGGCTGATAAATAATGTTGATCCTCTGCTAAAATTGCGTGGGCCTTAACAGATTATAAGAATATCTAATATCAGTTGATCGTGTGTGTAACTTTCTTAATTGTACATTAAGTGTAAACGGTTTTCATGAAACCGCGACGTTTCATGAAGTGTAACGTAACTACACGTGTCATGTTTACAGGGTTGACTTTTATTATTGATACCAGTAGGCTTGTTAAAACTTAAGTCTACTGCAGTAAAGGTTCCATTGATAACATTATAAACCTAGAATTGGTTGCACAGTTTTAATTAGTTTTCCATAATTATTTCAGCATCCTTCACTTTTTATTGTAAATTTATTGAATGAAAGTTTGAGTTTCAAAACGTAAGAAAATAAATCAAATAATAAAATAACATTCTTAATTTTAAGTCTAAAGCAATTAGAAAGCATCACATGAACTGATAACTTGTCATAGCACTCTCCAAGAACTATCTAAAAGTGACTAATGGGTTTTAGTTTTTTTTTTTTTTTTTTTTAGTTTAAACAAATGTATACAAAATATTAATTAAAACAAATAACTTTGCGATGATAAACGCACTAATACTTCTTACCCCAACTACCTAGGTCTTTGATGTTATCAAAAATAACATTGTTAACTAATTACTACATAATAAATTAAATGAGATACAATTACATATTAAATTGAGACAAATTATATATTTTAATTATACAAATTATACCGTTAAATAGAGAAAAATTTGATGTTGTAAACTTAAAACAAAACTAAGTTGGCTTTGTTTGTGTTACTAAAGCTTAAAAAAAATTCTTATCATAAAAAGGTCAATTCATATACTTAAAATAAAAGAAAAAAATTAAAAACGCGTAAGTAAGGATAGGAAATTAGTAAGATATTAGTAGTTTTTTTCATCCTTACAACCACCAACAATTAACCCGTAGAACCATACCGTCTTCCATAAACTTACAAATTGGATGAAAAAGTAGATAAAACAATGCTAGGTAAAAAATCTTTATATTTTTATATCACATATATTTTTGATATGGCTTTTTAACGAAAACATAAAAATGAATCCAGCTCTGCAAAACGAACTTATCATTATAATACTATTACTATGTTAAATGTATTATTGTAAGAGTAGTTTCAACAAAAGATGCAATGCAATCAACACTTACAGGTTAAAGTGTAATATAAACACACTCGGACAAGCTTCGATGATTTATTGTTCTTTAGTTTGCTTTGTATCGCGAAACTTTACACTTTATTGCTTTAGACTTATATTCTTGATGATATATTGTTAATTTGGTAAACAAAAGTGGAGAGCATTGATAGGATTTATTGCCATTTGTATAATAGTTATATAATGTTGAGTTACTCCTTGGTAGGCCGATTGAATTTATTCCATATGAGGTTGGAAAATATATGCTATTTTGCGTGTTAGCCATTAATTTAAGACTGTTATAAATAATTTTCTTAGTGTTTCAATTTAAAACTCGGATATGCCTTATATAATAAGTTATCATTATCATTTATCTGAATATAATTGCTGACTATAATAAAGGAGTATTTATTTTAATGTATTTACAAATTATAATTTAAAGTCGTGTTCTTAAGGAAAACATTCGTATACATATGGTCTTTTATTTAATAAGTATCCTATACCTCTTGGAATTTACGCCTTAGTGTATTTACAATGAGAATTTTTTTTTATACAATTTTAAAGCTAGATAAAAACATATTTCTAAATGTAAATTTGAGTTTTTAGTTTAAAAACCAGAAAAATGTTTTTTTTTTACCTTTCATGTAGCTAAAATGTCTAATCAATATAAGTTATACAAAAATTTTAGATATTTTTTTAGAAGATACTAGCTATTTTACCTATCATAAATAGAAAATGTGTATTCGGAAATCTGACTTAATATAGTTCCAACATTCGTAATTGATCGATTAAAAAACTACTTATTAAATTGACGATACTTGACGCATAACTGATCATTATCCTTTTATGAACACATTTTCTACAATTATAGGAATATACTGAAAAATTTAAGGAAAAGACATAAAATGAGTTTTTGATTCTTCTTGCAGGTCCTCGTGAGAAGTATAGAAAACCAAACAGGTTTCAAGCTACGAGACAATATTGTGTGTCAAAACATAACAACAAACAAGAATGTAAGTGTCAGTTACAACCAAGGAGATGATATGGAGATGGGGGTGTTAATTAATAAATAATATGCAACACTTACATGTATATAAATGGAATATTGAGAAATTTAAAATATTTGAAAACATGTATTTGCTGTATGGTTTTCTGTATTGTAGTAAAGGAATACTAAATTATTAGCTGTGATTGAACACTTATATTCGAAGGAGTTTATCATTATTTTTTTTTAATATTTTATTATAATTGTAATCTATAAATAAAAAAAAATTTAACAATATTAATGTTTTCTATAAGAAATTCAAATTACATCATGTTAACGATAACTTTCGGACTTGCAAAAACAGTTTTAATTAACAATGATGTTAAATTTGTGTCGTTTCGGATTCCAACAATGGTTGATTTATTTCACTTAAAATGCACATCTATGTTATCTTAGCCTAGAGTCTGAAATACATTTGTTTAATACTTTATTCATTCTTAAGGCCCTGAATCATGTAGAATATGCTGTATATTTAATGAAAATGTAGAAAAAAATGATTTGTCACTTGAAAAGACAAAAGGTGTAGGCATTATTGCTGTAGCATAGCTTTTAGGTATTACATAATACATTACTCAGAATATTGAATAAATACGGAGGGCAAAACATGAACTCACCCGTAAGACATTATCATGCAAATATAGTATTTCCAATAGAAAGATAATTATAAACAAGGAATAAGTTATAAAGTATTTTTTGATTATTCAAGAAATACGTGTTTATAAATACGTGTTAAGTGTTTGAGGAATATATCACCAGAATATTAAACCATTCTTAACTTTTTTTATTAATAATGGAAATAGACGAGTAACAAGTAAAGGCATTGTTGTAAATATATATATATATATATAAACAAACAGATCATTTATAGATTTGAAAACAACGTATACGAAGGTTAAATATATTTCAAAGGCATCATGCTATTATATATATGAGTGGTCACAAATATAAAAAGTAGAAGTAAATATCCTATTGAATTAAAATATATACTGTGGTAGAAAATTCGCAACTACACATATCTCAAGTAATCTGATATTTAAACATTTATATAAAACAATTTTAGCTAACTACGAAAAATTTGTTATGTACGTGAACGTAAATTATACATTCGTCGACTTGCAGATGCAGATGCCGTGCTGTGGCTCATTAAATCACCACGAGTTTAATTGGCTCTCACACAATCAGCTGTCTAGTTTGTATTCATCATTGAATTAGATGCAATTTGAATTGGTTGATTCTGTCTTTAATGTAAAATGATCAGTACTTCCTTTTTACAAATATAAAATGATGTATTACCTTCAAAACACTATACATGTTCTTTTTATGTTTTGTTTATTGTTTATTCTATTAAAAAGGAAGAAATACCAGTTCAAATAAATATATTTTTTTATTTACATACTAAAATTAGTGTTACCTAATTTGTACTTTATATTTAAATATTGGCTTATTGTCACTTTTGGCAATCCCATAACCTAACAGATATTAGAAACACATACTTTTATTCATTTTAAGAGATTTTGTGTAATAAATTGTTGAAATATATAAACATATTTTGGGATTCTGATAAATCCTCCTACTAATCTATACAACTTAGAAAAAAATTATCACATGACTAAATGAAACTATCTTATTTAAGTAATAAAATGGAAGTTTCCAACAAGCATGACAACAATTAAGAGACGATCCATAATAACCATCCAATTCTCCATAATCGTGTAATTATTACAATTTTGACAGTTTTTTTCTCCGAGTCATCAAAATTCAAGCATCAGTTCGTGTCATAATATTTTGCCTTCCTTCTGTTCCTTGTTTAATTTGTTCAAAACTATTGTATTGTAAACATATGATTTAATCTTTGTTTACAATTAGTCAAAACACAAAATGTTAGGATACTTGTTGTAGTACAGTTTTAGTTGATTAAATTGTAATGATAAACACCTCCAGATTAATAAGGTTCTAATCTACTAAAACTGTACTACAACAAGTATCCTAACATTTTGTGTTTTGACTAATTGTAAACAAAGATTAAATCATATGTTTACAATACAATAGTTTTGAACAAATTAAACAAGGAACAGAAGGAAGGCAAAATATAATTAAGTCGAGACAGTTTTCACCTGAAGATAGTGAGTTCATAAAATCTGAAGTTTATAGAATGCAACAAGAGGGTATCATAGAAGAGAGTCAATCACCTTGGAGAGCACAAGTTCTGGTTGTTAAGGGAGAATCCAAGAAGAAGAGGGTGGTTATTGATTACTCCCAAACTATTAATAGATTCACTGAGCTAGACGCATATCCTTTGCCGAAAATTGAAACAATTGTCAACGAGGTGGCCAAGTACAAATTTTATAGCACCATAGATCTGAGCTCAGCGTATCATCAAATACCAATTGTGGAAGGTGAGAAACCATACACCGCCTTTGAGGCAGATGGTCGATTATTCCAATTCAAACGAATCCCGTTCGGAGTAACTAACGGAGTGCCTGCTTTCCAAAGAGTCATTAACGGAATCATATCACAGGAAAAACTAGTAAAAACCAAGGCTTATTTAGATGACATTACTATTGGGGGAGACAGTGAAGAAGAACATGATCGGAACCTTGAAGCCTTCCTAGCGGTTTCCCACAAGTATAATTTGACGATCAACAATGAAAAAAGTTAGTTTCGCCAGAAGTCAATAAACTTACTTGGGTACCTGATATGTTATCGTTCCATCAAACCTGATCCTGAACGTCTCCGACCACTCATGGAACTCCCAGTACCAAAGGACATAGCAGCTCTTCGACGAGCCATGGGGTTGTTTGCTCACTACGCAAATCTCATTCCTAAGTTTTCGGAGAAAATACAAGCTTTCAGTAATAATCAAAGCCTTCCTCTACCACCAGAATCCATCCAAGCCTTTCACAAACTGAAATCAGATATATCAGAAGCAGTCAAGTCGCCAATCAATGATGAAGAACAGTTCACTGTGGAAACAGATGCCTCTGACCACGCCCTGAGCGCGACTCTATCTCAGAAGGGAAGACCCGTCGCCTCTTTCTCCAAAAGTTTGACACCAACCGAACGGAAACATCCCATAGTAGAAAAAGAAGCTCAAGCAATTGTGGAGTCATTAAAGCACTGGAGATATTATCTTGTAGGAAGGGTTTTTCAGTTAATCACAGACCAAAAGTCGGTCGCTTACATGTTTGACAACAATGCCTCTGGAAAAATAAAAAATGAAAAAATCCAAAGATGGCGCATGGAACTTTCGTGTTACAAATACAATATAGTTTACAGACCGGGTGTAGAGAACTCAACTGCCGATACTCTCTCTCGTGTTTGTTCTGTTACAGGAAGCCTTAGTCTCAAAGACATTCACAATTCACTGTGTCATCCAGGTGGCACGAGGCTCCATCACTGGGTTAGAACAAAAAATCTCCCATTTTCACTTGACGATATTAGGAAGGTGACTTCATCTTGCACAGTGTGTGCCGAGTTGAAACCAAGATTCTGTAAGTTTCAAGGGCAATTAATCAAAGCAACAGCACCTTTTGAAAGACTGAATATTGACTTCAAGGGCCCTTTGCCATCTTCAACAAGAAACAAGTACATACTAACTGTTGTAGATGAATTTTCTCGATTCCCGTTCGCTTTTCCTTGTGCTGACATGGCTTCATCGACAGTAATCAAACACTTACAAAGTCTCTTTTATCTTTTTGGAATGACTTCTTATGTTCACTCCGATAGAGGAACCTCTTTCCTGTCTCAAGATGTTCAACAATTTCTTAACTCCAATTCAACAATTTTCTTAACTGTGGAATCGCATCCAGTCGTACAACGCCCTACAACCCCAGAGGAAACGGACAGGCTGAGAGGTATAACGGCATCATATGGAAGACAGTGAACCTTGCTTTAAAAACTCACAGTTTGCATGTCAGTCAATGGGAAAAAGTGTTAGAAGAGGCGCTGCACTCCATACGCAGTTTGCTTTGTACTGGCACAAACGCTACTCCACATGAGAGGATGTTCAACCACATGAGGAAATCCTTTTATGGCCAATCCTTACCCATGTGGCTCTCAGCACTAGGAACTGTATTGCTGAAGAAGTTCAACAATGTCAGCAAGTATTCACCTGCAGTAGAAGTGGTGGATTTAGTCAATGCCGGTCCTCAATACGCCAGAATCCGTTCAAGAGATGGCAGAGAATCAACCGTTTCCTTGAGGCACCTGGCTCCTTACGGGAACGATAACGGATCGCCCATAGATCATGAAACAGACATTGATCAAGTTCAAGAACCTGATGATCCATCAAATCAATCAACCTCTCAACCAAATGGAAGTATACAAACGGCTCAAAAGCAGCGACCTTGTCGAGAACGCAGTCCACCTGACTTCTACACCGTCTGATTTGTCAAAATGAAGCCGGGAAAAATGTCATAATATTTTGCCTTCCTTCTGTTCCTTGTTTAATTTGTTCAAAACTATTGTATTGTAAACATATGATTTAATCTTAGTTTACAATTAGTCAAAACACAAAATGTTAGGATACTTGTTGTAGTACAGTTTTAGTTGATTAGAACCTTATTAATCTGGAGGTGTTTATCATTACAGTGGGTTATGCTATTAAAAGATAGAAAAATAAATTTCAACAATGTCAAAATCTAACGTTAGATTTAACCCTGCTAATAAAGAGTCTGTGATATCAATACGGCAACCGTGCAAATAACATTCCCAGCTAAAGGTTTTCAGTGATAGATGGTTTTTAATCCGATACCAGAACGAATGCATTAGACGTGTTGAAGGTGACGTCATTTATCAGCTGATTGTTGTGTCCAACAATACACTAGTGACTGTCACACGCTGACACAGAAAAGTTCAATAGAACATTAAAAATGTTCCTTCGTCGAGACTCTCTTTTGGAAGTTAAACTGGTTTCTTCCTTGATAACCTGTTTGCATAAATACTTACGTAACTATTTATTACTTTATGGTGCTTAACGGAGTTAATATCCACACTTATGCTAACTTTGCCTATTTTTGAATTCTTCTTGAAATTGTAATCATGACCTTATTGCACCAAAGTTATACATGTTGTATAATATAGGGTTAAATACTGTTTCGTCAAACGAGCCTAAAACAACGTACAGTTAAGGTTTTGCAACAAACCGGGGAAAAATAACAAGCTTTGTCTTATAGCGTTATTTCTTCTTTCAAGTATATTTTATCCAGGAGATGGACTTACCTAAATGAAAGTGGTTAAGATAACCTCAATAACAAAAAAAAAAAAAATACATACACACATACAAAAAAAATAAAAACGCAAACATGCATACAAGAAAAAATTCAAACAAAATCCCCTCCAAAAAAAACTACTATTTAAGAATGTTAATTTCTGTCTAAATTTAGTGATTTTCTGTTATTCTTAAATCTTTAACGATTTTACGTGGCAAATATTATACAGTGAATATTAAAGAAAAGGTTAATTCTGGAAAGAATTGAACATTATTAGCTATCACAATGCCATTGAAACAATTTACGTTTTTTCTACTAAAAGTTTACTAAAAATATCTTTCCAAAGAGATTTTCAGTATACTGTCCTTAACAAAGTAACGAGTTTAAACAATATACGCTACAGTTTATGTTTCTCTACTACACTTTTGATAACTGCTGTAAATGACACAACTCATGAATGTAAGTTTTTCTACATATGTTCCCTCGATAAAGGAGTAAAAGAGATCACCACATACTCAGCTACTACGATTCCCTTGGTTATTGTGGTGTTTTAAGACTTTGAGATAGACGGTGAATTCACACAAACGTTAAAGCTGTAAGGTTTTATTTTATTGTTTTCAGTCGATTGTTTGTAGCATAGCTGGTCTGTTTTTTCTTTTCTTTTTCCATATCCTTTTTTTGTACATACTACAAACCGAATGAAAATATAATATATTTATTTGTACGATATATTAAAGTGTTGAACGTCATTTAATATTATGAGAGACAAACCTGTTGAGTTATTACCTCAACTCATATGGTTGGTAAGGAAACTTTGGTTGGATAAACTAAGAAGCAGGATGATAGGAAACTTTTTAGTTGGATGTGGAACTTAAATTTCTGATTATAATGTATACGTATATAAATACTATCGCTATTTTTGACCATCAAGACTGTTAAATCATAGTTATAGGTATATATATATTTTTGCATGATAATCAACCATTGCATGTACTGTATTTGGTCTATTACAACTCTTTAAGGAAAATATATCTTTTTTATACAACGCATCTTTTACAACTATTTGAGTATTGTAACAAAATATATATTCTTTAATGTATATTTATTTAATAAAAACATATTTATTCAGAATGTAATAATTTAAACTATGTTTTACATAGTTATATACGTTTTTATAGGCTATAAATTCCGCAATGATTTAATGTTAGTTTAAAGTAATTTAAAAATTGACTCGTTTAGTGTCCTATGTAATACTTGTATCCCTAGTATATTTAAGCTCAGCAATAAATTTTGGTTGGGTGGTGTATAATCCCATTTAAAAGGATTTAAGGTTTTTGTGTGTTAACATAGGTTAAACTAGCTTAGAGTCACCCTGGGTTCTTCTAAATAAATTATAGATATTGTTTATATTATATTTCAGATTGCTCTTATTTTAAAATAATTTAATTTGATTTTATTACGATCCTCACGTCTATTGTGTATTAGTTATAATAGTTATATTTCAGATTTTTAATATCTGATTCCATTTAAATCAATCTTACTAATATTATAAATTTGAAAGTTTGTGAGTTTGTGTGTGTGTTTGTGTGTTGCTCAATCACGCATAAACTACTGGACGGATTGGGCTGAAATTCGGCATGATGATAACTCACATTCCACATTAACATTTAGGCATATTCTTATCTCAAAAATCCGTTCGGGCTCTGCCCCAGTGGCTCTGTAGTTCTCCATGTTAACCTTATGAGTATTCATATTTAAAGGGTATTAAAGAATTTAGTCAGCTGTTTCAACTTATAAGTTGGTTCTATGGTATACAAAAGCATGAAAAGTTATAAGATTTACCAACAGGGTGCAGCACTATTACTTTTTGGATTTATGGAAATGGCTAATTTGAACTAAACAACAACAAAAAGCTGTGATACACAATGAGAACTGTCAAAGTATGAATGTTTACAGTTAGGTTTGAGTTTTTAATTTAATGAATAATTTGTGATATTGTGCGAATGTTGGCTTATTTAATTTTTTCTATTGTTTAGTTGCAGTGGTAGAACATTATGGCAATGGTAGATGTGTTATACTTTATCATACCGTAAATTTATGAACCAAATTTCATCAAACTGTGTCCTCCCCCCATTGCAAACGCAAAGCTTGAGTATAACTGCAATAAGCATTTTATACTTATATGCCAACCCCGTACGAAGGACGGGTAGTCTACTAGTAAACAATAAGTTGTATTTTCAAGTTATAATCATACAAAATTGAACACTCTTGAACTATTAAAAACGGTAATGATTTATCATAAAACAGCTGTCTACAGAGACAGACTCCTAATTTTATAATAGTATAAATCAGAAATATTCACATATGCAGGGTAAGGCCTAAGTAACTTAATCAATAACTAAGGGTTTAACATGTACAAAGTAAATTATCTAACGTGTAGCCTGCAATGGTTAACAGCAGAATGGCAAGATAAATGTTTAGTTTAAGAAGTCTACGTTTCCATACAAATAATAGAGCATTCAATGATCTTAAAATCTATTGTTGTTTTAAATTTTATTTAATGGATTATTCTCTAAATACAAATATGAAATAACTATGCAATCATAAGATATCACACATATCTATTGCACTCAAAACCTTGTAGGAATACATAAGAAGTTTAGTTTTACGTTACACTCTCAAATCACCAATATAACCGCCGAGGTTCACCGAGGTCGGTTGGCCGACTTCATGCTCCTACTGAAAATAATCAGAGGTCTTCTATTTTGTCCGGATCTCCTGTCAAAAATTGACTTCAAAGTACCGAGTACCGTCTGGCACTAGGACTAGGGAACTCTTCGTCCGAAGACACTACAACACGTCTTTCGACTTCCACAGCCCACTAGCTCGTCTTGCCAGGCTTGGAAACCGTGTTGCTCCGGACTGTGACCAGTTCTGTGACACAATTTCTCATCTCAGAAGATGTGCTACGGAAATCTTCACTCCTTGAACCTGTACGAGCGTAAACTAGGCCTACTTCCAGACACAGATTTTCACCAGCATTTGTTCATCTTGTGATGTAGGCCCCATGTAAAATTTGTAAAACTGATTATTATGTTTGTTCCTGCATTTTTGTCAATGTAAAACTATTTATTGTAAAACAATTAATTATTGCAACGAATTTGTCAATTTGTATGTATTGTAAAATAACTTAAACTCTTCTTGATCTCACTCATGCACTACTTGTTGTCATCTAACTTTCTATTTAAAAATTGTAAATATTTGTATTGTTAATATTTTTGTTACTATTGATATTGTTACCACTATTGTTATTGTTCACTATTTGTTCACTATTTTGTTGTGAGTTATTATGTTGTGAATGTTTTTCATTGTAAAGTGGCTATGCCGTTGGGAAATAAAATAAAATAAAATAAATAATACATGCTACGGATGTATTATGTTCTAAACGTCGAACAATTCAAAACAAAAATTGGTAGTCAATAACTTTTTTTATATCATCAAATGTATGCATTGTGACAATGAATTGACTTGAAATAAAAACTATTAAATCCTGGCTTATGACAGAAACATAGATTCATAGTAATAGTTTGTTTTTAGTTGTTGTTGTGTTAGTTGTTTGAAGTAAAATGTTGTTAATTCTGAACGAGGACAAATATAAATTATAAAAATTACTTTAGTTAGCAATGAATGCTGTAAAGTAATAATAATGACCATTTTGAGTTCAATTACTACAGTAAAGCAAAGATTCAAATTACTTAACAGGTGAATGGACAAAGTTATGTAACTTTCAAAATGGTAGGAACGTCTGTTAGCCCAAGTCATAATATAATTAGGTTCCGTTGATGTGACAAGCTCGTGTCTTTACAATGGTTACCAAGTTTAACAGTCTGGTTAAAACTAACACTTTACAAAATTTATTTAGTAAAAAAATATACATATTACACGTATCCATCGTAATTGTTACATATCAATTCTACGTTACATCCACTGATTTGCTGACAGTGGCGTGATGTAACTTATTAAATCACACAGGTTTGTAAAATTGTCTTACGCGATGAAATATATAGTTTGTATTAATTTATTCCAACAGCAAGATCACAAATTTACAACGTGGATACATTGTGTATTGCTGTAGTATTACTGTGTAGGCCTGATGTATTGAATTCATTACTAAAT